GGTGGGCTGTTCGAGGACTGCCTCGTGCGCCTCCGGATCGGAACTGGACCCGCTGTTGCGTGACTCTGGCTAGCCCGTCCATCTGATTGGAGCGTTTCAGGAGTACTTGGGCACTGCTTCTGGCGTTGTGCTGGTGGTTTACAGGGGACTTGCAGCGGCGCATGGGACGAAATTTCCAAAATACAGGCCTCCTCGCGCTAAAGCATACCCTCCTACAGGCCCACCCTGCTATAACCAGTACCTGCAACCCTCGGGAAGCCACTGACCGGTCTTCTCCCCTCTCCTGCCCCAAAATGCCCCAGAATGCCCCAGAATGCCCCAGAAATGCTGGCGGTTTAAACAAAACTCACCACCATCCTCGGTCCCCGTTGTCAACGACTCTTCCGTATTCTTTGCATCAACATTGTCTGCCCTCGATTTCTTCACCTTGTCCATCATTTTGACGAATTACTCAGGATCCCTTGCTTATATATCATCATTACTTCCGCTCTTCTCTAGCTCTTATCACTATCCACTGCTTCATCTACACGCCCTGCTGTCTACACGCCGTTTGCACCAGCCAACCAGCTTACACACTTTTGACTTTTGACAACAAGTGCGCCCTTGGATCCCATCCGCTATCGTGCCTTGCCAATGAGACACTCTTTCCCACCTTGATCTCGCTCACGCCCTTGCTGAGCCCCTTTCTTCATCCCCCCCCCCAGCCATCACTTGCACTCTTAGCATGTCTGGCTCCATGGACGAGTTTGTCCACTGGGACGAGGCTGGCGCTGCCATTGGCGGCACCACCGACTTTCAGCTCGACACCGAGAACCTCGACCTGGTTCTTGAAAACGTCGACGAGGATGATTTTGGCTTCTCTGCCCTCCAGCACTACTCTGGTGACGCCAACCTGGATCTCTTTGCCATCCCCGGCGTCATGCCCGATCCCATGCCCGAGGCCTGGTATGAAGCGCCTCAGGTCGCCTGCGCTCATTGTGCTGCCGGAAGTTTTGCCTGCAAAAAGATTCGTGAAGGTAGCCACAAGGGCTACTGCACCAGCTGCGTTGCCCTCCGCGTCGAGTGCAGCTTTGCCGGGGCTCTGGCCGATACCAACATGGCCATCGAGCCATCAGCAACCTTTCCTTCGAACCCTTGGTCCGTCACCGGCCAACACTCCAATCCCACACACTCTAGCTTTGCCAACTTCAATGCTGCGACTATTCCGGCTCCAGTTCCAGTTCCTGCTTCTCAGTCTGCTGAGAATAACGGCATCTTTGCCCCGGTGCCCATTGCGCCCCCCAAGATTGGCGCCCGTTTCTCTCGCGAGTCTGTCCGCATACTCAAAAACTGGCTCTCTACTCACACCAGACATCCCTACCCCAGTGAAGAGGAAAAAGAAATGCTGCAGCGTCAGACTGGTCTGAACAAGACGCAAATCACAAATTGGCTTGCCAATGCCCGTCGCAGAGGCAAAGTTCAACCCCCTCGATCAGTCTCCCCCAACATCAGAAACTGGTCCACCTCGGGTTCAATCGACATCCCGCAACGTCGCGGAACACCTGCCCTCGAAGCCATGAACCCCCTGCAGCGTTGGCAGGTCTCTCCTCCTGAACACGAACCGGCCTCGGTCAGCGCCATTGCCAGGGCCGTTACCGCTTCGTCTTCTGCCCTCTCCTCGGGGCTCAACTCGCCTTACAGCTTCAACTACACTGATGACGGCTCCAACAGGTCGCTTTGTAAGGAGTCTTCGACATCTAGTGTGGGAACATCGCAGTCTAGCAATGGTTCATTCGGCTCGGCATATTCTCACGGCTCCAGACACTCCTGGGGGTCATTTGGCTCTGCGCCCTTCAACAGCCGAGGCCGCCGCCGCCGCCGCCGCCGGGGCGCCACCAAGCCCGATGGCGACGCTAATCTCTCTGCGCCATTGAAGACCTTCCAATGTACTTTCTGTACCGAAACGTTCAGAACAAAGCACGACTGGCAAAGACACGAAAAGTCTCTACACTTGTCTCTTGAGCGATGGGTCTGTACCCCTCATGGGCCGCGCGTCATGAATCCGGAATCAGGACAAATGTCTTGCGTCTTTTGCGGCATTGCCAACCCAGATGATGCGCATATTGACTCGCACAATCATTCTGCTTGCCAAGAGCGCGCCATTGAGGAGCGGACATTCTACCGCAAAGACCACCTTAACCAGCACCTTCGATTGGTTCACAATGTCAAGTTCTTGGACTGGGCGATGAAGCCGTGGAAGATTGCCACGCCAGAGATCCGCTCACGCTGTGGTTTCTGTGGCATCGTGATGGATTCTTGGACTATTCGTGTAGATCATCTTGCAGAGCATTTCAAGACTGGTTATTCCATGGCTGATTGGAAGGGTGACTGGGGTTTCGAAGTGCCCGTTCTCGACATGGTTGAAAATTCCATCCCGCCCTGTATGCGACCACTCAAATTTCCCATAGACAAGATTGCGACGTCTGACCTTTGGCAATAGATCTTATTCATCATGAGCGAACCTCGCCTTTACCCTATGTTGCCCTTCAGTCTCCGCCTGCGTCTCCGCGTAATGCGTACGAGCTCATCAAGCTGCAACTAGCCAACTTTGGCTCTTCACACTGGGAACAGTACGGAAAGAACCCGACCGACGAAGAACTCTGCCTGGAAGGATGCCGTGTCATTTTCGCCTCCGAATTGCTGTCTATACAAGGCATCGCCACCCAAGTATCCTGGCTTCGTGACATTGTCATGAATGATGAAGAGATTACCCGTCAGGCCAAGTTTGGACCGCTTCTCCGTGCCGCCGAGCTTCAGAGTCTCAAGATTAACGGCAAGGACAATCTTTTCGAGGAGTGCCCGATGGAGATCCAGCTTCATCAGTTTGTCAAGGCCAAGAGGTTGCTGGGTTTGATTGCCATGGATGACGAGCTGCAAGAAGAGGCCTGCCGAATTGTTGGTCGTGTTGAAGAGATTTGCACTTTTCCTTCCGAGGCTGTTGCCAATTGGCTACTTCGGCTGATCAAGCGCTCGACCTCTTGGTTGGCCCGCTTCCGCCGCCGCGCCCATCTGCCCAGAACAGAAGATATCAAGAGCGACACCATTCGTTCCAAGGATCTTACCTCCATCGACTCAACAATCCACAGCTATTCGAGATTGGAATGTGAGCTTGGCGATTTCTTGAAGGCCCAGCGCAGCTTAGGCAAGGAGCCCACAGACGAGGATCTCCAGCGTCAGGCGCGTATTATCATTTACGAGTTCGACGATGGATGGAACCAGACGGCAGCCGACAGCATGCAGTGGTTGGACGCTTTCAAGGAACGACATGCGCTGGTGGAAAAGACGCCAGACAGCATGGCCAAGACATCCCCGGAACAGTCTGATGAAGCTACGGCTGTAGCTTCACCCAGTTCACAGTGGGCAGCGCCAGGCAAGAGGTGGCCAAGTGTTGTGAGTGCCAAAAATGTCGAATCCGCCCAATTCGGCAAACACAGTAGCGCCCCATCATTCCTCAATGACGCAAATTGCTACCGTCGTCTTGCCAAGGAGCTGAAGAGATGGGTCGCCTCGACCACGTCGCGCAACAACCCCAGTCGTCACGTCCCGACCGACGAGGAACTGCGCTATCAAGCACGATGGATCGTCTACGACGGTGACGACCCTTGGAACCAGACCGCAGCAGACAATGCCGAGTGGCTGCAGAGGTTCAAGCGTGACGTGGGCATCACCAAGGACGGCGGGCCCGGCCTGCCGGATAGCTACGCTTGGGCCATGGAGCAGGGCGGTACCGGCTTCGCGCCGCCCTACGCCTGTCCCAAGTCGGACAACATGGACCCGTTCGCCGGCGCCGTGCCCGTTGAGATGCGCGACGGCGCAAAGCCCTTCCTGGCCGGGCCGACGGCCGCCAACAGTTTCCTCGACACGCTCGCGGAGCCGCACACGCGCCCCGCCAAGGTGTTTTGCTCACGCGAGCTCGAGGCCCGCCTGCTACAATTTGCCGAGCGCCACGCTCTCACGCACGGCGACATGCCCGGCGACGTGGCGCTCCGTGCAGAAGCCAGGCAGATTCTGCAGACAGACTACACGGCTGCCGACGACGACATGCTGCTCGGCAAGTTCAAGGAACTACTCTGCGAGAAGATGCCATTCCTTGAGCCCCAGACGCAGCAGCCAAGCACAGACGCAGCAGCGGCGGCGGCGGCGGAGGATGCACTCGCGGCGGCGGACACGGACCTAGACATGTTGCTGCATAGCATGGACTTTGACATGGAGCCTGACTTTATGAGCAGTGCCGCTGTCGGCACAGATGGAGAAGAGGGTGGTGCGTCGCTTCTCTGAAAGGACATGGTATATCATTTTTTTTGATTTTTTTTTCTTGGATTTTTGCTCTACATTTTGCTTTCAACATTGATACCAAAAGGAGGCAGGCATAGGATGGCATCTGTACATCTTTGGATGGGGGGGATCTGCGACGGATGCATTGCATGATGTTTCTTTACCAAGTGTTTCAAATCAGGACTGGGTTTATTAGATTGACCGTTTTTCTCCTATTTACTCTGTATGTTTCTCGACACATAAAGTGCGACACTACACGATGGACGCTCTCCGCTTTATCATCTCTTCTGATCGTGCCAAGTCTTTATTCTTTTTTCGACGTATAACCGGCCCATAAACCTTTTTGCATAATCACCTCGAACTTGACTAGAGTAGATAGTGATTGAAGCTATTTCACCGACTTCAGTCTCTGAATATGTGGTGGTCTCTGTGCTCAAGCCACTCACGCCGCAAACCAACTCGCCTCGCCTTGGCACACGGCGTGAGTAAAAGATGTCCGCCAAAACATTCTCATACTGGGTCACGTATAATTGCGCAAAGAGCAAAGTCTATTAGCCTAAACAAATTTGCTGCCGCACAGTTCCTCCATATTGAGATCGTTTCACCTGCACCCGCTGCGCTGTCTTATTGTAGCCAAATAACTCGAGCTCGATGCATCAAAGGATCCCATCCACCAACGCCACAAAGCTCGTGTAGCTCAGTTGGTTAGAGCGTCGTACTAATACCGGATGAGCAATCGTCGACTATTGGTGATGCGAAGGTCGTAGGTTCAATCCCTGCCATGAGCACGAGAAAAAGGATGGGATCGTGGATATCTTTTTTTGTGCCTTTGTCCTCGCTCCTCCACCAAGGGTGGGCTGATATGGTGGCGGGCGTCGGTGGTGGATCGGCGGGTAGATAGTTACTGGAGAAGCCACCCAGGATGGCGTTCGAACCCTGTCGTGAGCAATACAGAGAATGTATTGAATATATTTTTTTTTTGGAAAGTATGGGAGCCTGTTGTTGTGCGTGGTGTTGATTGTATTTGAGCCGGCTTCACATTCGCTCGTCCAAGAGGCTTAGCTGCATTATGACAAGGATAACCGCATCAGGATCCGTGGAAGCTAGACATGATGACCAATATGATTACCTGTCACATATGTGAGGCTGAATTAGACGAGGTAGAAATGAAGTGAAGCCCTCGCCGTCTCGCTCATAGCTCTGCAAATTAATTAGATGACGCTGTTGGCTCATGGCCCAGCAAGTCTCGGAGCAACTTGAGAAGATGCAGGTGGCTGACGCGATACTCAAAGCGCAAGAGGAGATGCGCTCATCACTATGCCGTATAGGTAAATCTGCTTTCCACATCCCAATTATGCTTGCATTCAGTTATTTCCTGACGCTCTGTCTTGGCGAGCTCCGCAGTGCAGTGGTGCCGGCCTGAAGACTGTGGTCATAGTGCAGGCTGTGGAACACAATTTTTCTTTGTACGGATACGGTAGTGCAGATTCAGACCCTTTGTAACGTATCAATATAATTCGCCTTGATTCCATTGTATCTGTCAGCTAGGTTGGTTGCCCACATCACCGACCCGGTGTGTTGTCGCGCGCGTCTCATTTGGCAGGTGCCAACGACCCATGAAACTAAACTCTTGGATGAGCTCGCCCACCGACTTTCATTCTTGCACAAGCACTATTACACATATTATAGCGTCGTACATTATCATCAAAATGGTTTATCGCTACACTCTTCCAGCTCAGCGCAGCCCGTATGCTTGTCAGCAGCGTGAGATTTGTCTCCGCAGCCAGACAATCTCCAACGCCATTGCAAGTTCACCCGGACTCAAGCGCGCAAGCCTTTACGCGCATAGGTCTTTGAATTCGAAAGAGGCTTCACTCGACTACAAGCGACGGGTCGAAGAGCTCGACAAGGAGAATATCAAAATCACAACCTATTCGGTTTCATCGACAAATATCTTTGATGAGAACATGGGCCAATATGACCCCGCCGACCCAACAACCTGGGGCATCAAGCCTCTTCCGCCACTACCCCATGGCTCAGGTTCACGGAGAGCCCTTTCAATCACGTCCAGTTCGGATGACGATGCCACAATGCTGAGGAGCCCAATTCTACCTCCCTGTGCGGAGCCCGCAGAGGACCCCAACAACCTCGCTCAGCTCATCGAGGATCATCTTCGAATTGATGACGAGCAGCAGAGTCATACACAGCACCGCACTACGTCTTCGTTCTATCACGACCCAGACAGCGAGCCTTCTCGAGTGCAATCTCCCATATCAAACGCCAATGTGAATACACTCAGTGTCACGAATCTTGCCAAGTTTGGCAAAATAAACGACAGACTTTCCAATCTTCGTTCTGAAACTCCTTCATCGGATACAGGGGATCTACTCTTGCAGGAGAGCGGCGATGCACAAGACGACTCATCTTCGGTAGTCAACAACTAGCGGACACAGCCTAGCAAGATGGTCGAGCCCTATCCGTACGGACGCCAAATCAGGCGACATCGATTTGCCAGCTTCCCCTGCGACCTAGACAAGCATCATCATGGCAGAGGATATGATGGAGTGGACGAGACTGTGGTATCGAGCCGACACAGCCTCGCACCGTCCTCAAATGCATCTGTTGATACTCGCTCGCCTCTCCGCAGAGCGAAGCGGCGTGCATCGCATTTTTCTCTTCGCAGCTTGAGTAAGCCATTCTCAAAAAGATCGTTTCTTAATTTGAGGAAGTGGGCCAACTCCATCTACCGCAAGAGCAGCCGTCGCTTCAGCGTTGCGAAGCAGAAGCTCACGCAGCACACGGAGACTGAGCGTCGAAGCTTCTTTGCCTAGAAGGCGAACAAAACATCGGAAACGCTAGGAGACAAATGAAAAGGAAACCATGGATGGACAGTCACCACCAGAGCTACTATTGCTGGAAGGAGGGATATGCCAAAATACTACATGTTGAAGTGAGCAAAGATTTCAAAGGCATCGGGTGAGCTTTGGAGCTGATTACAGGTATTATTAACTGGCCGAGTTCGTGAGCGTGAGTCATAATGATGATGCGTCAGGGGCTTTATATCCAAGGTGCATAATTACAAGATAGAGAATGAATCAAAAATGAGACAGCCAGCCCACAGTATATCTGGCCTTTCTGCTTGTGTAGTAATGGCATGATTCTGTAGTTAGATCATGTACCTGAAGCTGTCGCCAGAGCCTCGGTCTTTTGCAGAGCCAACCAATCTCTCCGCCTCGTCGGGGTCCCCGCCAGCAGCACCGAGACGGTCTCTATATGAGCTGTGAGGATCCTTTTCGGCAAGCTTACGGTTCAAACGCTTCAAGTAGGATCGCAGGACAAAAGCACACGCGGCAGCTCCGAGCAAGACGGCGGCACATACGCGGTGGCCCGTGGTGTAGTATGGCCCATCGCGATCGGGATAGAGTCTCGTGCCGATGAGGGTGCCGAGTTGGCCAATGAACTGCATCATGGCAAAGGTGGCGCCACGGCGCGTCTCGTCGGGCTGGCTGTTGATGCCCCACGTAATGATGAGGGTGACGACGTTGAAGAAGCCCACGGCGGCGGGATACACGGCCAGGTACCGCGCCCAGGTGGGCAGACGGAGAGGCTCGGCAATGCCGAGGACGAGATAGCCCGACGCTGAGCAGAGGGCGTGGAAGACGATGGGAAGCGTGCGGCTGCTGCGGCGGTCGGACACGTGCGCGGTGAAGAGGACAATGACAAAGGCGAGGAGGTAGGGCGGCGCGGAGAGGGCCTGTGCCGAGAGGCTGCTGTAACCCATGCTGTGGATGATTTTGGGGAGGAATACGGGGAGTGACGAGTAGGCCAGGTTGGCCATGCAGAATATCGCAGAGGCGAGGATCGCAATGGGGTCCAGGACGACGGAGACGATGTTGCGCCACACCAGGCGACGCGAGTCTTGCGCGGCGGCGGCGTCGTCATCGTTGTCTTCATCGCCAGGCTTCTCCCTCCGCAGGCGAAGCGTCGCAATCCTGCGCTCCCGCGGCGTCAAGTAAGCCGCCTCGTGCGGCGCGTCCGGAACGACACCCCACGCCACGACGCCCGCCAGCACCGACGGCAGGCCCTCTACCAGGAAGAGCAAGCGCCAGGGCGCGACGGGCGACGCCGCGCGGGCGGCCGCGCGCACAATGACCCAGGCGAGCGTCGAGGCGCAGGCGCTGGCGAGCGGCGCGGCGGCGATGAAGAGGGCGACGCGAAAGGCGAGCTCGCGGCGGCGGTAGAAGAAGCTCAGGTAGTAGGGGACGCCGGCAAAGGCGGCCTCGGCGACGCCGAGCAGCGCGCGCAGGGCCACGAGCGCCGGGTACGAGGGCGCGACGGCCTGCAGCGAGGCGACGAGGCCCCAGGCGACGACGGCGGTCGAGACGAGGACGTGCGCGGGGAGGAACCGGTACAGCAGCGACATCCACTCAAACGCGCTGTAGGTCAGGTAGAAGCAAGTCAGCGACCACGAGTACCAGCCGGCGTACGGAGGGCTTGTCTGTAGGTCCTCCTCCATGCCTGCTATACGAGCGTTTCCAATGTCTTTGTGAGCAGAAAACTGTTAGTTTTTGGCTGCAAAAAAACGAGTTCACACTGCCCCCCCCATTTCCTATTATTAGGGGAAGATGGGATGGGACAATGTGTATATATATATATATATATATACGCACTTGAACGGTCGACAAAGCTGAGCAAAAAGAGCAGCGACAGGAAGAGCACGAGCTTGCGGTCAAACTTGCGCCGCACCGCCGCCTCCTCGTCGGGCGTGTACAGGCTGTAGCTCGCCGCCGTGCTGTTGCTCCGGCGGCGGCGTCGGCGGCGGTGGTGGTCGCGCGTCTTGCGCCGCGTAGTCGATGCGCTCTGTGCGCTGCCGGGCCGTGACGGCGGCGGAACCCCGGGGCTCAGACGACCGCGCATGCCGCGCAGCTCGTAGGCCTCGGCGCCGCCCACCTCGGACTGCAGGTCCACGGCCTCGTCGTCCTCGTCGTAGTCGTCGAGGTCAAAGAGGTCGTCGCTGTCATCATCGAGGTCGAGCTCGGCGCCCGTCTGCGCAAAGGACGGCGAGGCCTCGCCCGGCTGCTGCTGCTGCTGCTGCTGCCGCTGCCGGGACGCCATGTTCTCGACAAATTTTGCCGCTTGCCTCCTTTGCCCCCCCCCTCTCTTGGATGGAAAGTCTGGCTGGACTGCTAATGAGCAGTGGCAGTAACTAGTTGTTTTCTAGGTCGACAGAAGGTTTCTCATAAAGAACTCGAATTTACTTCTGGTTCAATTTGAGGTGCAAAATCCAATTGGCGCGAAAAAAAAAAAAAAAAAAAAAATCAGACGGCCGAGGTGTTTGCGTCGTCACAGGAGGAGATGGGGAGAGACTTGGCGTTTGGTTGTGCCTGAAGATGGGCACACCAGAGAGAGGAGGGTCAGTGATGCTCCACACGTGACGGCATTAGGCGGCCGCCGATCAATAGATGAAGCATCTAGAAATCTATTACCCTGCATGTGCTTCTCGAAAAGGATTTCTCATGTTCCATCATAATAATGGCAAGAAAAGGCTGAGCCTAGACATCGAGATTCATCAGACGATTTTCGTTTCATCTGCAGATCCCCAGACCATCTCATGGGTGGAGCGCTCAAGTATCGCGAGTCGCGTCGCACAGCATTGCGTCAACGGCGTCACTTTCAAAACTGCCTCTTCTGGCAATTTTACAATAATTGTTTCCCTGTTGGTATGATTCATTATTATGTCTTACTTCAAGTCGTGCGGATGCTGTGTATCGGATCAAGTTTGAACACG